CAAACATTTGAGGCTTTGTGGGTCACAAACAACCTCTATGGAATAAATTACACCCTCCTCCTCCTCCTCCCCCCCTCCTCCTCCTCTCCTCCTCTTCCTCTTCTTCCTCCTCCTCCTCCTCCAGGAAGCTTTTCTATAACCTCCCTTTCCCCAATCCTAAACAAATGAGAATTCCAAGGCCTTCAAGGAATCACCTTCTCTAACTTTCTTCATTGTGAAGAGAAATAATCTAAGTCTCAGGAATAGTCAAGCCTGCTAAAGGCAGAGAATGACCTCCAGCCAGACCTCTATGTCTTGCTGGGGCTAATGTGGGACCTATCAGCAACCATGGTCCCATGTACCTGTAGACAGAGAGAGAGCACTCTGGGCCCCTGAGCTGCAGACTTCATGGAGCAGGGCCTCCTGAAACAGCTCCCCAAGAACCCAGGCATCCATCCAGCCCAGGGATCAGTGCAGAGTAGGTACCATTTCACTCCAGCATGTATACAGATGAACCCTTAGGCACTTCTGTTGTCCAGGGGAGGAAGGCCTTCCATACAGCAAGTGTTCACATTATAGCCTTCAGAGAAATGGGCAATCAAGCCAGTGGAAGAATGGTCTGTGTCCCATTGGGGAAACAGCCTAGCTGTCAGCTTCGTTTCCCTTCTTGGCTGGTGCTAGTTACATTCTAGAAGGAGGTGGTCTGGGGGCCCCAGTGAGTCTTAAGTGGAGTCTAGAAACCCAACATGACCAGCAAGAGGACTGGATATGCCCCAGTCTTTTTCTTCAGTGAGAGGTCCTTAGCTTTTATCAGACTCAATAACATGGTGTTGTTCAAATATTTTCCCAGAGTAAAAAACATTCATCTGGGCATGGCAGTTCACATCTATACTCTCATCACCTGGGAGGCTGAGGCAGAAGTATTATATCAGTTTGAGTCCACCTTGGGTTACAGAGTGAGTCCCTGTCTCAAAGTTAAAAGACCAAACCCAAAAAGAATGAAACCCATTCTCAGACAACCAAAACTGACCCATGATCTGCATTACGATAATTACATACAAATAACAGACTATATAATCTCTATGACTATACAATTTACACAAGTGGAGAAACAAATTTAAAATGTCTAAGTTCAAGCCATCAGGCCTGGTAGCTCACACCTATAATCCTAGCACTTAGGAAGCAGAGGCAGGAGGATCAGTTCAAGACCATCATGAGCTACGTAAGATCTTGTCTCAAAAATTAATAAATTTTATAAATTAAAAACCTACTAGAGAACTGATACAGTTCAAAATGACCACCCGTGTAGGAAAAAAAAAAAAAAAACAACTCATTTGGTGAAAAAAATCATTTCCCACAGAAAAGCAGACCTGACAGGAAAAAGGCACAGCCTGCTGGCCTCGCTGGCTTATTCCTCAGCAGGATACGGGAAGCTCAATTCATCCACATTTCCTCAGCTCACCCTTCTGCAAACCATCCTTCCTACAGCTTTAGCCACAACTGAGCACTGACGTATAATTTCTTCTACACTGCTGAGGACAGAACCCAGGGCCTTGTGCATGCTAGGCACATGCTCTGCCCCTAAGCCACATCCTCTCCCTGCTGACACACCTGTGCAAAATCCCTGTCATGTCCAGAAAACAGCTTTGCAGCAGTCTTCCACGACTTCTGGCTGTTACAATCCTTCTGCCCATCTTTTACTACAATCTGAGCCATGGGGGCAGGGGTGTGATAGTGCTCAAGCCAGCCAAAATTCCAGCATGGGTGAGGGAGAGGCTCAAGAAGTCCTACTCCTCCTAGCTGAGGAGTTATTGTCAATCAATGGCTGCTGGGGAGGGACAGTCAGTTTTCTTGAGGTGTGGCCCCTGACAGGCTGTCCATGTTCTGCTGACTGACCCTATACATAAGTGGAAACACTAAGTGAACTCAGTGGGTTTGGAAAGAGTACATGAGAGGCTGGAGAAATGACTCAGCAGTTAAAAGCATAGCACTGCTGCTCTTCTAGAGGACCCAGGTTCAGCTTCCAGCACCCACATGACAGCTAACAGTCATCTGTAATTCCAGTTCCAAAGGCTCTGCCACCCTCCTCTGACCTCTGCAGGTATTGCATACATATGCACAGGTGCACTGACATACATGCAGGCAATACACTCATACACACAAAAAATAATAAAATATTTAAAGAGTACATGGAAGTTGGGCGTGGTGGCACATGCCTTTAAATCCCAGTACCCCAGAGGCAGGTGGATCTCTGTGGGATCAAGGGCAGCTGGTCTACATAAAGACTTCCAGGCCAGCTGGGGCTTAAGGGAGACCCTATCTCAAAAACACCAAAAATAAACAAAGAACAAAAGAACATACGAAGTTTGGAGAGAAAAATAGAGGGGATATGGGAGAAGCTGAAAGCAAGGGGGAGGGTGGATTTGATCAAAACACATTATATTCATGTATGAAAAGCTCAAGCAATACATTTAAAAAGAGAATTAAATTTCTCTGCTCTCTCTCCCTGAGCTACTATCCCCATGGATGCCCTGGATTCTTGTGAAATTATAAACACAGAGTCAGGCAGTGGAACCTACTGACCACCCTCAGTTACACAACAAATGGGTTGGATTTCCAGAACACAGAAAGTACACACAGTTAGAGTCTTCTTAATATGCAAGCACATTTAAATTATCATACAGACCCATAAGCCTCTAAGAATTCATCCTAAAACATCTTTATGAGGTCCTCCCAAAGGAGAGTTCACTGAATCTTGAACCCTGAAGAGAGATGGAAAGACTACAACAAAAGTGACCAGCAGGCAATCAAAGCAAAGTCATACAGGGCTAGAAACCAGACTGCAGCACTTCCTAGGTCTAATGCCTGCCTTCCTTCTCCTAGTGATCAGTACCCTACCTAGGCTCACTGTTCTCAGCCCTCAGGATGGGCCACCTCCAGACTTAATCTAACCAGAGATGATAACATGGATGGCAAATGGGTTAAAGAGTATGTTCCAATTCTAATCAAAAGGCAGCACTACTGAGAAGGGCTCCAAGGTTGGTCTTAAAAGCAAAGAGTGCTACAATTGATTGGTGATTGCCTGCTATATGCACGGCCATCTCAGAAAGGGATTGCATAGACATTCTCCTTCTCTGGATTATAAAACTGAATTCTGAAAGGATGACAAATTAAAAGCAAACAGTGCATTGAAATCAAAGTAACCCCACAAAACTACCTATTGTGAAGGGGAGGGGTGTGTACTAAACTCTAGCTGGTTTGGACAGGTAAAGCAAACAAAGAAACCTGGGTGTGGTGGTGATAACTCCAGGACAGGTATGTCATCCAAAAGCAACAGTTGCTTCTCAGCCACAAAGCAGTAATGTTGCCAGAGATTTTACTTTTTAAAGAGAAGATGGAAATCAGAATTTCCACATGAAGTCTCTGGCTTTTAGGATCTGGCAACTGAATACATTTTCTAGTTTGCTGTTCTTTGCCAGAAAGACCAATCATCGTAAAGGCCCCTCCATCAGCAGTCCTTAATTTAGTCTAACTCCTTCATATTTTGGAGGAGGATGAACCACTCAAAGAGGCAGGGCTGGAGGTGCCTAGCCCCTGAATTACAGTCTAGAGCTTCCTCACACCCCAGCTCTGCCCCCAGGAATTCAGCCTCACCTGTAACTCAAAATGTACCTAGGTTAGGTGAGACACTGATCACTGTTCCAGAGGCCACTCCCAGGAAACCAGACACAGACAGAGCCCGGAGGCCAAGAACACATCTCCAAGCCAGGTCCTTCTACAGGACCAGGAGAGACATCCTCCCTGGAGGCCATACCTGTGTTCCACTCATGCCCACAGCTGGCCCACGGGAGCTCAGTGGTGAAACAGTTGCTCAGGTAGAAGATGGCCCATGCCAAGATGATGATGTAGTAGACGTTGAGGTGAGCCTCAATCACCTGTGTCGCATAGCCGATGCCTGCAAGGACCAAAGGGAGAGCAGCTGGACTCTCTGCCTTTGGACACAGCCTTCCACTGCTCTCTGCAGCTTGATGTCAATAAGGCAAATTTTTATTTTCTCATTAAAGCAGCATTTACCTTCAAACAAAGGGCAGACTTTCCTCCAGCACGTGATGCCACCTTCACTCGTGAACTGCCCCAGGGCTGTTTCCAGGAAGAACACAGGAATTCCACAGCAAATGAAAAACACCACGTAAGGAATCAGGAAGGCCCCTGTGAGGATGCAGAGGGATGAGATGGAAACCCCTTGCCGTCTCTCCATCAGCACCTACTACAGGGTAGAACACAATCTTCTCTGAGTTTGAGTTCAGATGAAGGGACTAGAGCCAAAACAAGTGGATGGAGTTTGTGTTCTCTACCACCCTATTACCTTAAGCAACTCCATCTCACATCTCTGAGTCTCAATATCTTCAGCTATAAAATGAGGTTTTAATCTTTAATATCTACACTGATCATTTCCCAATACAGTTGTACAGCTAAGATAGTAATATAAAACAAACAAAAAAACCCACCAAAACTGCTTTATTTGTTCATTTCTTTGTCTTTTACTTTGTGAGGATTTGTGCATGCATATGTGTTTCTGTGTGTGCATGTATGTGGACATTAAGTGTGGAGATGGGAGGTTAATGTTGAGTGTCTTTTTCTATTGCTCTTGATCTCACTTTTGAAACAGAGTCTCTTTATGTAGCTGTGGCTAGCGTAGAACTCACTATGTAGATCAGTCTGGCCTTGAACTCACAAAGGTCTTCCTGCCTCTGTCTCCTGTGCACTACCACACCTGGCTTTGACCTCATTATTTTAAGAAAGGGTCTCCCACCGAACCTGGAGCTGACTGATTTAGCTAGGCTGGTGGCCACTGAGCTGCAGGGATCCTCCTGTTTCTGCCTCCTCAGTGCTAGAACTGCAGGTGAGTGTCAACATACTTGGCTTTTTAGTAGGTGCTAGTGACCTGAACTCAGTTCCTCAGGCTCCCACAGCAAGCACTTTACTGATAGAGCCATCTCCTCAACAGGGTCAATTCTTTAACTTAGTCATTCCATCCTCTGGTGCAGATTAAGCTCATTCCCATCCTGAATACTGCACCCCTCTTTTTAATTCTAAACTAATCTCAACAGGACAGGTGAAAGGGGCCCTTCCTCTTACTTATAGAGTGACCTGGAAAAAAAATCTTTCTCATAAAGAAAAGCCACCTCAGGGGATCATACCATGAGCCACACCAGGCTTCAAAGGGTTAAACATCCCTGCAAACAAGGCCAGGTATGGAGCTGAACCCTAAGGAATTTGAAGCACAGATCTGCCCAGTGAGGCTGGCTCTGGCTCAGGGTCAGGCTGGGAGAGGACCACCCTCAGTTTCAGCACTCCTATCTGGAAACACAATATCCATTGCCTGAGCCTTTCTGGGAAACAAATAACTAAGGTGAACACGAGCTCTTAGGAGCAGAAGATTTTTTCCAAACCCTTCACTTTCTTTCTCCTGTCTAGTAAGGAAGCATGAAAACACAGTATTCCCCACCATCTCACCTGGAGTGGAGGCTTTAACTGAAATTGCTTTTTGCTAACTGAAGCCTCTTTAACTGCAAGGATTAACAGCAGTAACCTTGATGATCCTGATAGCGTGGCCCTGTGTATCATGATTTGAAAGGGGTCTTAGCTTTTTCTGGGCAAGAGACTAATTTAAGAATTCACACTGGGAAAGAAAGGCTTTAAACTATTGTTGGGATCTCCAAGTACAGCCATGTAGATAAAAGGGAACTGTGGATAAACAGCCCAACTACATTAGAAGGCAAAAACTATGGGAAAGGGGATAAGAGTATCCATTGACAGAATCTAAATTTATTTGATTAAAAAGTTGAAGCAGTTCCCTAAGACCTTGCAATTCACCTGTGAACCACTCCCCTCCCAACCTAACAGATGACACTGGGGAAAGCCAGCTGGGCTGTGTATCCACAGCTAGTACTGTAATCCTTAAAATAACTACCAAACCAGGGTATCTGGAGACTCTTGGCAAATTGGCAAATGAGACAGAAAAATCCAACACTGACTCATTTTTAAACTTTACTCACTACAACCCTTTTTAAAATTCTGTAGCAGAATTTGTAATTAACTCAATTTACCCCATTTTCTACTTGGTGGAATGCTTCTTGTTTAGGTCTAACAGTTTTCTACGAATAAAGATGTTAAAATAGTTTCTGTCCTATACTACCCTGAAGAGTTCCCACAGGATTACAAGTGCACACCACAGCTTTTAAAGGCCGACTCCGAACAGAGTGGCAAGACTCCACTGAGGGCACAGGGCACATTTTGGGTCTCCAAGTCCACTCCCTCTTTCCCCCTTTGCCAAACCACCAACACTGGTGGCCACTTCATTACAAGTGCAGAGCAGGCTTGGAGCAGCCTGTGCCTTTGGGATGAATGTCCCTAGAGAAGACAGTGCCCTACAGCTGCTTACACAGGAAGTCCTGCACTGTCTCTATCAGCCAACTTCTCAGCCACCTTTTGAGGGTTAGAAACTTCGCTGGAGGAATTAGGGGCACCACAGAGAGGAGGGGAGATGCAAAGACACAGGCCTTTTCTGGGAGGAACTGTTCAAAGGATAGTTTCACCCAATCTCTTACTATTCCATCATCCCCGCGAGATATGACGGGAGAGGGTTTCATGGGGAACCAACCCTCTGAGCTGGGAGGACTGGGGACCACCACTTCCACACTTTGAAAACTCAGAGATGTTGTCACTGGAAAGGACTCTCTCATCCCCTTCCCCAGTTTCTAAGCATCTCAATATACACCAAATCACTGTTGTAGCAACCGTTGTGGGTGAGTCTCATCCCAGTAAAAGAAACTGAGTGCTGCCAGTTCTTCCTCCAGAGAGGCCTAAAATACTTTCCCTAGAAAGGGCCTGAGGAGCAAATTTAAAAGTCTATACAGGAGGGCAAGCAACAAAGTCTCACGAAAAGTTCTTCTCCCAGGGGTCAGTGCAACCCCATTTTCAAACAAGGCTTTTAGAGTCAAACTCCCACCGTTACCACTGGTAAAGAGGGGGCTTCTTGGACTTTTAGTCTCCTTATCTGTGAGATGGGTAAAACGCTGCCTACCGAGGTGACCATGAGGCAAAAATACAGCTAAAACTGAGCTACCGCGCCTGGCACTTCAGTCAACGCTCCAAAAGCAAGACTGTTCAGATAAATGGTAAGTCTCTTGGGGGCGGGGTGGGGGTGAGGGTTGGGGGGGAGCTGAGCCCAACAGGCTAAATGTTTTTTGCTAAAACGCCAATGTGAGTACCCAGAAACGAAGCACTTGGACTGGGTCTGCACCTCATACTGGTGACAGACACTGTTACAGGCCCGCAAGTCCCACACGGTGGCAGGTGGCACGCTCAGGTGTGAAGCATAGCTCGTACGCAGGCGCGGTGGAAACAGGTGGGCCCTGGCTAGCCTGGCGCTCTGGTGGTCCAGGTTCTGCCTGAGGGTCCCGCAACACGCAGGCACGCGAGGGGGTGTCGCGCTCCCCGCCCCCACCGGGTGGCAAGGATGCCCGTTCCCGCCGCGCCCTCACCTCCGCCGTTCTTGTAGCACAGGTAGGGAAAGCGCCACACGTTGCCCAGCCCGATGATCTCCCCCGCCACGCTCAGTACGAACTCCACCTTGTTGTTCCAGTGGCCACGCTCGTGGACCGCCTTGTCGCGCGACTCGCGCGTCCCCGCCGCGCCCCCGCCACCGCCGCCGCCCAGCGCCTCAGACTCCCGCGCCTCCTCGGCAGCCTTCCCATTGCCCAAGGGCAGCGCCTTCTCTGCAGTCATGGCCGCGCTACCGCCTCGTGCGCCGGCCCGGCTCTGCGCCGCCGCCCCGGGCGCCCAGGCTTTTCAGAGGCGCGAGCGGGCGGGCGGGGAAACCAGGGGGTGGAGCCGAAGGACCGGGCCGGCAGGCGGCCGCCCTGCACCGGGACGCGGCGCGGAAGCCCCAGCACAGGGCGCACAGGGGCCCGGGCCCGCCTGGCTTGCGCGCGCCACGAGCACCTTGCGCGCGCCACGAGCACCTTGCGCGCGCCACGAGCACCTTGCGCGCGCCACGAGCACCTTGCGCGCGCCACGAGCACCTTGCGCGCGCCACGAGCACCTTGCGCGCGCCACGAGCACCTTGCGCGCGCCACGAGCACCTGGATTGCCCTGCAGCTTTACCCAATAACTCCTGCGGATGGACCAGAGTGGGCTGTGAATACCAGATCTGAAGTTTCACCAGTCTGTGACCTTTAAAAATCTGGGCCTCAATTCCCCATCTCTAGTAGGAGGAAGATTCAGGCAACTCCACCTTTAGCAGAGCAAACATCTGTGGGTCTTGTTAAACTGCAGGTTCTGTGTGATAGATGGAGATGAACTAGGGAGGGCGTTTCCAAACTCCCAGGTAATGGGGATAAGGCTGGTCCAGGCTTCTTCCTGGGTACCCCATCCTGGAGCTCTCATTCATCCTGGTGTTCCCTGCTCTACATAAAGTGAATCAGGACAGGGTGGCATTGAGTACCTAGATCTGACACAGAAACAGGTAAATCTAAGGTCCACCTCAGGCTCCCCCTGTCTGAGCTGTATGACTTTGGCCAGTCTCCTGATCTGGGAAAGGTGATTCTGATAGTTTTTCTTCTCAGTTCGTGTGTGTGTGTGTGTGTGTGTGTGTGTGTGTGTGTGTGTGTTGGCAAAAGGTTAATAAAATGCTGATAAACTCAGTATTTGGAAGTGGTCAGTGGTTAGCCTTTAGTAATGTTACCGTGCGATGTGTAGATACATACTTGTATGTCTTATTTAATATTTTGCACCACTCACTTATACTACTAACATACAATGTCCTGTCTATGATAATAGCCAGAGAACTTAGCATGCTAAGTGACACACTGTGTACTCAGCAAATATTTGTAAGTAGAGGGAATATAGCTCAGGGATGTAGTGCTTGGGTAGCATGTGCCAGTCCCTGGATTTCATCCCCAGGACTAAGACCCCCCCCCCAATTTTTTAATAGAAAGGGAGTTTCTTTGTTTAGGGTAAATGTTCTCAGAGACTCCCGAGTTGGAGGTTTGGTCCCCAATCTGTGGTGCTGTTGGGAGATTGTGGAATCCTTCAAAGGTGAGACCTTACAGGAAGGTGTTCTGATTATTGGGAATGCATGTTTGTTGGGGATTGTGAGAGCCCATAGTCTGTCATCCTGAGGTGCGCTGCTGCTTCCTCATCTTGCTGCCACCATGACACTGCCACAGAGCATCTGGAAAGCAGTGACTGCTCCTCTTTGTAAGTTGGTTCTCTCCACGATTTGTCACAGTAATGGAAAGCTGACTGACTGAGGGAGGAAGGCTAAAAGAAAGGAAGGAAGGATTGTGAGTGTCCTCAGAGCTGTGGAAATGGGCAGGTCTATGCTTCTCTACAGCCCTGGAGTGGACTCCCAGTGCTGTCTCAGTACCCAGCTCCCCAGCGCTCTGCCTGTGGCCCTCAGATGCTCCTTGGAAGGCCCCTCCACCTTGCTCACTGGCTGCATTTCTTCAAAGAGTAAATGGAGTATTGCAGTTGGCCCTCACCCCTCATATCATCCACCTGAGTACTGACTGCAAGTCCCCAAGCCTGGCTCACACCAGTCCTTAGGCTCCTCCATTTGCAGCCCACAGGAGCTCTCTATGGCTTTCTGCACCCTGCTCCTTCCCATGGTCCCCAGTTCCCATTCACCTGGTTTTCACTGCTGTCTCTCCTCCTACAGCTCTGGTTGCTTTTTTGTCTTTCTAGGCCTAAAGCCACCCAGCTAAATGCTGATGCCACCCATCCTTCCTGCTCTGTGCTGTCTTGGGTGGGTATATGCAACAGCAAAGATCCTTCAGGCTGTTGAGGGCAAGATTTGACTTCACCCAGATGCTGTGCCTTTGAACTCTCACCACATTGTCTCAGGCTCTGTCCATCAAATAGGTTTGTATTCTCACCTCAGGGTGATTTGACAGTTACAGCCCTGAGCTTGTGCTCTGAAAAGTAGCTGTTATTTGGATTGTGAAGAGGAGGAAGAGGAAGAGAAAAAGGAGGTGAAGAGAGTGTCTTTCTCTTGCTAACAGTCTTTGTTGGCTCTTTCCCTCCTACCACAGAAAACCAAATTGTTGGCCTTGACCTCAATTTACCCCACTGTCGGATGGTCCCATGGTTTTCTTCTAAATTAATGGCATTTTTCTCACACACTAAAACATCAGAATTTTCTTTTCTTTTTGATGATCCCTAGTACTGTATATAAAAATCACAGTAAATTTATCCTCAACTTGAGAACCCTTGCATCCCATAGTACATAGTAACTAGGACTTAATCTGTGGAATGAACTACATCAAAAGTTAGAAATTTATTCCTGAATCTTACTATTGGAATATTAGCCCATCGCCCCAGAACCTGCACAAAGCTCTTTCAAAACTGGTTTCATTTCGCTTTGTGAGGGATTAGCTCCAGGAACTGACTTCCTCTGTGCTGATGTGATTCAATGAGCTGTGCTTGGGAAGAATACAGAACCTGAGAGAGGGAGCCAGGACTGGCCTCTTCTGGGCTGGGACAGGACTAGGTTCTGTTGCTGGGAGTTCTTTGACCTTGGGTACATCGCCCAACGTTTCTGAACTTTAGTGCCCTGGTTGTATTAAAATGAGCATGATTGTCCTCATCTCTTGGGGTGGTCTTAAAAGCGAAATGGGCCCACATCAGCAAAGAACATTGCACAAACCCTAATGTCCATTCATTCACCAAATACACTTAGCTCTTCACTTTTTTTCAGATGCAGTGCTAGGATGCAATACCAGATACAAAGCCTGCCCTAGTAGTATCCTGGAGCTGGCTCACCTAGCTCATGAGGTAAGAAATGAATGATGCATTTTCAGGGGTTTGGGGGAGCCATGGTTGTTGGTCTCTTAACCTGATGAGGTGGTTGTATTTACACTACAAATCTGCAAACACTACAGAGCAGCCTGCCCTTACCAGCCCATGTGCAACCTTCCATTGGAAGACATGGAGGAAGCAGGTGTTAATGAAGTGATCAGAAATGAATGGAAAGTTGAAGATTTGGGAAGATGCCACACAAGAGATGTTTTCAGACCTGGGGGAACTTGTAACGTAGTGCTCTAACTTCATCAAGGAGAGCAGGTAGCACCCTTGTGCAAGTGACAAGTGAGCAGCAGCCTAAAGGAAGAGGAGCCATGGGTTGGATGAGGAGAGGACTGGAGGTTGTGGGGAGGATGGTGGGGGCCAAGGCTGGTGTATTGGCTCTTTTTCTGATACTATGACAAAATACCTGGCCAAAGCCACTTAAGGAAGGAAGAATTGTTTTGGTTATAGGTTGATGGTTCAGTCCATTAAGGTGGGGAAGTCATGATGACAGGGCATGAGACAGCTGGTCACATTCACTACAGTCAGGAAGCAGAAAGCAGTGAATCCTAGCACTGTTTGCTGTCCCCTTTTTATTTAGTCAAGAACCGCAGTTAAGGTAAGCCCTCCCACCCCAAGCTAGTCAAGATAATCCCTCACAGACACGCACAGAGGCTTGTCTCCTGGGTGATTCTAGATCCCGTGTACATGACAATCAACATTAAACAGCTGGCATGCACAGTGTGAAACAAGATGTGCTTAAAAGTGAAGCATTTTGGCAGTTGGTGAGGAGAGCATATTTGCATTGTAAAAAGACACAGTAGATTATGGGGGAGAAGTAAAGCGGTTACTGCAATGATTTAGACAGAAGAGTGGTAGCTTAGGGAGAGAGGAAAACCAAGGTGAGTGGTAAAGAGAGGGTACAACCCACAGGACTTGACCTAGGACTGGATGACAGGGAAGAGAAGGTACCAAGTACATCTGAGTTCTCCCACTGCAGCACCCCATAAGGGGAGTGTTACTTCGGCTCTACTTTGCTCTGATGCTCACAGCTGCCTCACTTCAGTGACAAACCAGAATTGGGGGAAGTGGATAGTTCTTAGATGTGTGTACAACTGCCAGACCAAGATCTACATGGAGGAAGCAGGATCAAAGAGAAGTGGCAGAAAAGAGTTAGCCCCGAAGATCTTCCTACCAATCACTTACCGAATCATCTACTATAGCTGATGTGGACACCAGACTCATAGATGATACCTGGGTCCCCACGAGGTAGCTTCCCAGTCCCACCAATGGGTAGAATTCCCAAGCATGCCAGTCTGAGATCAGTGTTCTGTAGCTTTCTCACTGATGGCAACATTTTTCCAGTAGGTTTGCATTAATGGTCCCAGCTTTAAACCCTTCCCTAACCCCTGCCAATTTCTAGATGACTTTACAGAGTGCTCGCAGCAGAAGACTTCTGCCATGGACTTGCTTTGGCCACTGGGATGAGGCAGCAGTGACAATGTGTCAGTTCCAAATATTTTCACCTTCTGTTCCGTCAGCATCATGAGAACTGTCTTCTTTAGTCAGCCTGGCAGCCCAGGAGGAAAATAAAAGCAGACCTGTTGTAGCTGAGGTATCCTAGATGAACCCAAACCAAAGCAAAGACATGGCCACCTTCCCAGCCTACAAGCAAACCCAGCTCAGATACCCAGCCTCCAACTACATTACTCAAGAGTCTAGAATAATCAGTGTGCTGTTCTGAGACACCAGGTATTGGCTTTTGCTCATGTCTTCTTTGAATATGTTCCTTTGCCCATCAAATACAATCATTTTTATTTAATATGTATGAATATTTTGCCTGCAAGTATGTAAATGCACAATGTACATACAATGCCCACGAAGGCCAGAAGATGGCGTTGGGTCCTCTGGAACTGGAGTTATGAACATTTGCTAGCTGCCATGAGGGTGCAGAGAACCAAACCTGGGTCCTCTACAAGAGCAGTCAGTGCCATTGACCCAT